GCACTATGGAAATGAATCCTTCTCTCTCTCCTTCTCTTGGCCCTACTGTCATTTCAGCAAGGTGTAAAATTTGATGTCTTTGTTCCCTCAAGCACCTACTGCTGTATTTCATCCTGTTGCAGTTACAGTCTGTGGAAAAGAACTACTTTAAAATACTATTCCAGAGATGAGGAATAACACAGTATCTAAACAGCTTAAGAAAAATTTGTGAAAATGCCTATAATTCTATTTGTTCATATCCTAAAGAGATCAAAGCAGAATCTGAGAAGATCTGCAGTTTCAAAAAGAAGAGACTCATGAAAAGTATAGATGAAAAAAGGAAATGCCAACAAGCAACTCCATATGGGGTGACCCTAATCCCTTCAATACAAGCAGCAATAGAACTTTCTGCCTGGAATACTTATTTAGCTGCAGTAAGTGACCACACAGAGCTGCATTTGACAGTCAGCTGTGGAACTTACACGGACTTCAGTGCCTGCTGTGATGTCTCACAAGAAGAGAACAATGAATGACTCAGGCCACCTGCATGCTGAACTGGCCCACCTGTGCAATCTGAGGTGAAAAATAGCTGCTTTCCAAGAGCAGTAGAGAGGGTCTAGGAGAGTGCTTTGCTCCTGCCAGCTTCTCAAGGAGTGGTAGAAGGCCGTGAGGTTGAAGAGACATGCCTGTGAAATACATCTGCATATATATGTGAATGTAATAAAAAAGTCGAAAGTTCTTAATTCGTCCTTTGTAAAGCTATGGGGCTGACCACCCTTAAGATTGTCACTTCTGCGGAAACATATTTTTTTCATTTTCAAGGACAAAAGCAGGCAATCAGTCATTTCAATACTCACATAAATTAGTGGAGACTTTGTTCTCAGACATCCCTCAGTGTTCCTCCACTGTTACAGAGGTGGGAAGTGATGCTTTCAAAGAAGAGGACCTTCCACTTCTCCTGAATCTGAGTCATTCTAGGGGCAGAACAAGGGTCAGCAAGAAAGAGTCCCTAGTGGTTAGTGTACAGAGCTGGGGGAGACGAATCCTAGCACATCAGATGTTGCTGCTCTCCAGGTCAATCCTGGTTTTTATACAGAGATTGTCTACAGTGCACAGCATTAGTACAAACCTCCATTAGTGTTTGCATCTGGAAAGCCTTAAAAGAACAGAAAATTATGAAGTTTTGAGATCCACATAGAGCTTGAAATAGCAGTTATGAAGCTGTGAAAGCCGCTCTATCTCAGGATTAGCTCTTTAATTCTTCCTGGAAAAACAAATCTAGATAAACATATGTAGATTACTTAGCTGGTTTCAATATTTTGTTTTCATAATATGTGCTGTCAACACCTGAAGGAAGGATTAAATCTGTCTCACAAAAAATGACAGATGTCCTTTTGTATTTCCACACACTTTTTTGATTCATAGACTGCTCCCAAATGGTCTATTAAATACATTATTAAAAATAAATAAATAAATAAAGGCAAAGTGAAATACTTTGAAATATGTATTATTGGTACAGTCCAAAGAAGATTGCTTTTTTCGCATTAATGAACTAGGAACTTCTGTACCTTATTGTTCAAAAATAATCTTCGTATCATTGAACTACAAAGGACCATTTTCAGTAGGTTAGTATGTTTGCTAACATAGTTTGCAGACTCTATCCTATTTCTTCTGAACTATAAATAATGATTTTGACCCTGACTAGATAGACTCACCATTTGGATTTTCAAATAGCTTATTTGTAGATATATAAGACAGCAAGTTGGCTGGGCTCCTTCTTTCCTGTACCTGTTAGATATAATGCACTCTATCTTAGAAGGCTGTCAGTGACTTTTACCTTGGATAACTTCCTTCTCTTTTCCTTTCCGTTTTTCTTTTCTTTTCCTTGCCTTGCTTTGCTGTGCCTTGCCTCCCCTTCCCTTTACTTTTCACTTCTCTCTTTTTTTTCCTTTTTTTTTTTTTTTTTTTTTTTTTTTTTTTTTTTCCTACAGCCTAATGGCATCTGGATTTTTCAGCAATACTTATGGGCCAAGTCAGAGGAAAAATTCCTTCCTAAGCAGACCTCAGTTTCCTGAAGGATTTAATCCTATTTCAGATAAATTTAGTTTGAAACCTTTCACTATCTTTAAGCATGTAGGACTAGACACTGAAAAACAGCTCACTCACAGGAGGGAGCCCGAGGGAATTGCTTTTCTTTTAAGAACTGAAGCAAGACCCACAGAACAGCAGAGCATTGCTGTGTTTGTACGAGTCCTGATTGCATTCTACACATTTCTACCTGATAAGGGCCATGAGGAGGTGGTCAGGCTGGAGATCTCTTCTCCAGCAGAAGTGCTCCAAGCTCAGAGGGCAAAGTGAGGTGTAATTAGAATTAGTGGGTACATCACAAGAAAACAGTTATTAAGTTTTATGATTTATATAAAGTCTTATATATATGTAGATAATGTTTTTGAATCTATGTAGCTTTAAGTACTAAAGCAGACCTACTGAAACTGGGAGCAGAATACTTACAATATGCGGGCTTTTTTACTCCATCACATCACAAATTATTTCTGATAGATACAACACAGAATCACAGAATCACAGAATGGCCAGAGTTGGAAGGGACCTCAACACAGTGGCTTTATAAGACTTTTCCTGCAAGGAAAGGACACTAGCAAAGGTCCAGCGTTTATCTTGTGGTCTCCATGAGTACCATCAATCCAGATGAAATGTAACACCACCACTGCTGAGTTGGGTGGCTTTCAAGAGCCATCCAAGTTGAGCTCAGAAACTCCATCAAGAGAACAGAGGGCATAGGAGTCAGAAGTCTACATCATATCTTGAGTAAACTGCAGGAACCACACAGCTGAACCAGCATTTGTGTGAGGGAAAATAGTACCTGAGGGGTGAGGCACAGCTGAAGGAGGAGATTGCCATTTGAGTCTCAGGGAGAGGATGCTTTAGCAAAGAATGCTGCCCCATAGAATTATCTGGACAACTAGACCTTTCCCTTCCTGTTCAAAATCAACACAATTTAAGATGCACAGACACTGTAGTCAGACTTGTAAAACAGCGCTTAAGTATCTAGTGTGGGGCCAGGCTAAGAAATTAGGAAGCTGATACATTTCCAAGTACAATTTAGACTCTTTCTCACCATGAGACAAATCCTGTAGTTTTTACCTGAAGACTCATTTTCTTTTTTTTCAAATATGCCTTTTGATTTTTGCCATGAACAACCATGTGTGCCTTGTTCAACACTTCTTTGCCTTTTGTAAGTATCAAAAGTATCAAAATATGGTTTTATAGTAGACTTTTGTGTATTTTGTTTTGAAGATTATCCCCACCTTTTCTTAAGCATTAATATGAAGATTGCCCGACAAAGCCAAGAGAAGAATTTGAAGTTTGATTCATTGTTTAATAACCATTTCTAGCTATTTACAGACATATTTGCCTTATGACTTCTGATTTCTGTTATATTCCTTCTGTGGATTTATTTGATTCAAAAGTTAAATTAGATAATGTGAAATCCACTTCACCTTAGTGTCTGGCAACAGGCTGTGATCACAAGGCAATGATTTCATTAGAGGAATCAAGCAAAAGTGGAAGGAATGTAGGGTGTGAGAGGGGGAAAAAAAAACATTTGTTGAAACACAAATACCTTCTGGGAAACCTATTTGAGCAATTATAACTCTTGCACTGTGACAGTGAAGGGATGTGAAAATAAATACCAGCTGGGTTCTTCTTCCATTATAAATATTTCCTTTTTTCCCCTAAATTCACATTCCTTAGATAGTTGTGTAGCACTGCTTGTGTGTTTAGATTACGCAAGATTTCGGTGCATTATTTGGTGAGCAAAGGCATTGCTGAAGTTTCGATAATTACTGAAATTTTCTCCACATAAATCCACATAAATGTTAATAACAGTAGAGATTGGTGCTTTTTTGGATGCTGGAAATTGAAAGAGAGTAGAAAAAGAATGCACATAATCTTTCATATAAAGTAATCTGGTGATAATGCTTGGCTCATGCTCCCACCTCTCACCCTTTGATATTCAAACTATGTATCACATGTGAGAATGACTGACAGCACTGAAACGATGATTGGTGTCTGATGAGCTCACCAGGGCTCATCATGCATTTGAAATTTTAATCTGAGCCTCTTGGCTTCTAACTTCTTGATACACCTGTTTGTTTGCCTGCAGCTCTATGATGTTGAAAAGTGCCCACCTCCAAGCCATTTCTAGAAGACAGAGTTCTTTCCACGCACTACAAACCTCTCTGCAACAAGTGTCTGCGGGAGTACTTGACCCCACTTCTGATTGACCACCACCCTCCTCCAGGATCTGGCTCACAAAGCTGGTATCTGTTCCCCATGTTCCCTCATATGCCATGCATACCCACCATAAGAAGGGATTGAAGGAGGAATTTGGTTTTGCCCTACCAGCCCCAGTAACCCCTGAGCGGAACACAGGACAGCTGCTCTCCCTGGTAGCCCTTGAGAATCTCCTTCTTCATCATTTACTGCAGACAGACAGGATGGTGCTGGACAGATGGAGCAAATCCTGGGCTTGGACAAGACTTCCCGTCCTTGCCAAAGGGCCTCCAACAGACAATGCTGTGCAGGGAAACAACTCCAAGAAGCAACTGAGCATGCCAGTGCTGCCGAGGAGTAGAAACTTCTCCGAACTTGAATCCTTACACAGCAAAGATGCTCCTGACATTTCCATGATTTCTATCCAAAGGATGGCTCATCCAGCTGTAGGTGGACATATGGCCCAGTCATGAGCAGTGGCATTCCCCAGTGGTTGCCATCTGGGTGGTGAGTCCATCAGGACCTCAGGTAGCAGATCTTTAAATAAACTGAAACTTGAAATACAACCTCTGTGGTCCAGTGGATAACACTGGGGTTCAAACTCTGCCTTAAACCTTATATGGGCACATCCATGTGATTTTCCCAACTATCTTTAAAAGGAACAAATGATACTCGGTGGTCTGTAGATGAAAATAAGTCCTAGATTTGGTCATTATATCAGTAGCTCTGGCTCTGTACGTCAAGAGATTAAGAAAAGACACAATTTAGTACGCATCATTTTATTTCTTGTTTAGTTTTTAGTGTTTGAATAATGGCTTTTGTGACAGATGTAATGTGTCACATTTACATGGTTTTAGAGGGGAATAATGCCTCCTGACCTTACTTCTCAAGAGTCCCAACTGTGAAGCTGTATACTGCAAATAATCATTTCAGCTGGCGCTGGGTAATCCCAGAGGTACATTTTGTATTAGGTTCACCTTTCAGTGATTTATTTGTAATTTCTGCTAAACCACAGTTAAAGCTATCCAGCACTTGGCTGATAGATCAGTAATGGGTAGCCCTTGCCAACGACACAGTTTGTGTGAAGGCTGATGTAGCCTGGAGTCTGAGAATACAGACAAGTGAAGATGCTGCATGTGAGAACCAATGCCCGTCATCTGTCTGGAAGCTGGCTTCCAGTGCACAGTGCTGTTGCCCCTCCAGCCTTCTATGTTGAGCCGTTACTGCTCGGGGCCCAAATTAAATCATGAGCTGGGCCTGAAAAAGGAGAAACTGGCAAAAATATCCTTTCAGCAAAAAAGAAAGGTTGCTTAAAAACAAGTCCACGTGCTTTTGCCATTGCCACAGATTGCACATTGGTACCAGAACCATTCAGGCCCCAGGAGATATTCCTCATTATCTTTCAGCTCCATCCATCCCAGTTAGTTGTGTCCTGGAATTGTCGGCCTCATCTCCAGTCACTTCTTGGGAGCCCTCCCCAGCAGCAGCATCCCAGTCCTGCAGCACTGCAGCAGGCAGGTCCCTAGGAGTTGCACTCCTCGCAGTGGCAGGAGAGGATGTAGCGGTATGTGGCGGTGAGCCTCATGCCACCTGAGCAGCGCAGCCGCATGGCCTTCAGCTTAGAGGTCTGGGGCCGGCAGCAGTGGCAAGTGGAGCGGAAAGGCTGCTTTAGGACAGTGCTGAAGGACACCATTGGCTCCGAGCGCGATGTCTGGCTGCAACGTCCTTCACAGCGAGCCAGCAGCACCATCTGTGAAGGAAGAGAGATGGGTTAGGAATGTCCTTCCAGTCTGGCTGACCTGTCATCACCGACCACATCTCTTCACCCGTGGCACCCCCACCCATCCCTTTGCAGTAAACTTTGTCCAAGAGAACTGAGGAGGTAATGAGGGCAGAGAAAAATGGAGTCTTTCCTATGGTCCCAGACACCATTACTAGTAACAAATATGGGGCCTGGTTCTCTGACAGCTGACCTTGGGCTCAAAACATTTGCAGCCAGCCCTGCTTTCCAGGCACAGTGACTGCAAGCATGGCTTGCTGGCCTCGGGTTTATGGCAGCCAAGCCCTTAAATCATCAGCCAACCTAGTGCTTTGGTAGGGTATTTTCCAGTGTTTTGAGTTTATGTACTAGTGATCAGCAGAACTGGTCATCAGGGTCAGTAAATTTCTCAATTGCTTAGAAATATGAACATATAAATTAGAAATATAAAGAAGCTCAGTTTATTTCTTCTAAAGAATTATGTTTCTGGCACTGTCTTCTGCACAGATCGCCCTGAGTGTGTGTTTGCAATTATATGCATAAATGTATTATTACATCATTTGTATTTGTGTAAAATCCATTGCATTAACTCAAGGCAATGAAAACATAGACAAGCATGAACTGCTTGCAAAGTATGGGGGTTCCCTAGTAAGATCTTCTGAAAGCCAAATAGTCTCCGTGACTCTTCTCCTGGATGCACCAGCTGAGCTATGACCAGAATAGGTCAACTTGCACAAAGAGAGGTGCTAAAGAACGAAATCCCATGGGAAGTCCACTGCTTCTGTTCCCAAAAATCCCTTGTTGATAAGTGGAGATGGCTGCAGTCTCCAAATCTCCACATAAAACACATAAAGATGAGATGATCATCTGATTAGAAGCAGCTACTACCACCTTGTAGAGCTAGGTTTAGTACAATTTTAAGCAAATTCTTACACTTTTATGAGGAATTAAATATTATTAATCCAGATCAGCTAATTCTGATTAACCAATACAGATTTTAAGCCAACTTTTTGTATCATGCAAGCAAGGGCAAAATGTGATGGAGATGATAATGTATGCACTAAAAAAGTTGTAAGTTTATCCTATAACCAAAGAAGAAAATTACCATATTTTGACCATATTGTACACATCTCATGACTTTTCCAGACAATCCAGAAGGACAACTATAAATGTGATGGCAAATATTTTGCAACATTAAACACTTCTAATACTCTTTCACTTCATACTCTCAACTGGACACAAACCATAAAAATAGGTATATCAAATGTTTAATTATCAGAAGCACTCCTCTTTAGTTAGAATCATGTGGAAAGGCGAAAGGAAGAGAGAATATTCATGGTATCGAGTACTGCCCGCACTAATGGTGTCCTTGGAAAAAGCACTTGTTGTCAGTAATGAACATACTTTTTGTACAGTACTTAAAAATGTTTCTTCCAAGAGTACTTGCATGATAAAATATTACTTCAAAATGTGTTAATATGTTAACAACTACACTTCCAGTCAACAGAAGGAACGTGCCTTCATGAGCTGATGATCTGGGCTTGCAACGAAGCATCTTCCACCTCAGTTTTCTTGTAAGCTCTTCAATGCATTTTCCATCTTTCATAATTCCTAGCATGAATTTATTGTTCGCTTTCCCTTGATCATAGAACCATAGAATCAGTCGAGTTAGAAGAGACCTTTAAAGATCATCTAGTCCAACTCCCCAGTGCCTATTCATAAACCAATTCACTCATTCGCTAGTAGTAATATGGTGGGAAGGAAGTTTCTGTGTACTGTTGAGCCACACACCAACTTTAGATGCATTGGCAATGTTCAGCTCCTTACTATCAGCATATTTAGTGTAAATAAGAGGGAAAAGGAAAGTTATCACAATGCTAGTGCCCAGATGAAAATCCACTTTTGTCTCTGGAAGACAAAACTCCCTTCCCACAACAGGCAAGCAGCTGGAGAAGAGCAGCATGCCTGTCTAATTCCTTTCCCACAAAGGAAACACAGAAGACTGGGACATGTAAAACAATTAGTTTCCTTCCATGTTTCTTGACAGCTCTCACTAGGTCCCCCACTTTGACCAGTTCATCAGATTGTGAGCTCTGTCACAGACTTCCCAAGCATTTGGCTGACATAGAGGCTGAGGAGGAATCCGACTGCAGCCTGCAGTCACTTAGAAGGGAGTTATAAAGACAATGCAGAACAACCGTCCTCAGGAGTGGCAACAGGGGATATAAAATGGCCACCAGCTGCTTTCTGGGAGCTTCAGAGAACTTCCAGAGTCCCCTCCAACCAACATTTCTATGATTCTGTGATTTCAGCCCATAAGTGATGTTGCTCTATGATGGAGGTTATTTCTAATGGTTGATGCTTCTGGAGCTGGAACAATTAGTCACTTCTGGCACATTTCTCCTCAGGATTTTTTATGCCATACAGCTGTGCTCCCGTACCAGCAGGAACCTCTAGAAACACCAGAAAAAAAAATAAATAACAGCCCTCAAGGACTACAGAAGAGTTGCAGAAGTTTAATTATAGGGTAGAATCTCTGTCTCAAGCTTTCTAGCACAAAGACAATCAATCTTCGTTATGCAACTGCATTTCTAATTGCCTAGCAACCTTTGTCTTTAAAAACATGTTTCATTCTGTGGAGATTATAATTTTAATCTAAAATTTTGCTGGCTACCTAGCTCTTCAGAGGAGTATGGTTAGTATTAAGACTGTGTAAAATAGAATTACATATCTCTAAGATAATCTGAGATCATCTAGTCCAACTGTTCACCTACCACGAATATTGCCCACTAAACCATATCCCTCAGTGCCACATCCACATGTTTCTTGAACACCTGAAGGCACATTGACTCCACCACCTTTATGGGCAGCCTGTGGCAAAGTTACACAGAGTTGGTCTTATATTTTATTTTTGGATTATAGTGTATAGTGTTTTTTGAAATGGCACTACACCATGCATATCAAGTCAAGCTTGCAGGAGAAATCGATTCAGATTTTCCATTTTGATGGCTTTCTAAACTTCTGAATTAACCTGAAGCCCTCAGCATAATTTAACCCCCTCCTCATAAATCCCAAAGAGCACCAGCAGATTTTGGCAGGTGTGCAAATGAGCTGGAAATAGCATGTACTTTAAAAGCTTTGCTTTGCCATTTAATCAATAGCACCAGCTGTTTATTGCATCACATACTGTAGTGCAATAGAGATTATCGCCTAAATTATTAGTAATGATATGATGGCATGGCACAGTAATACAGTAAGTGTATATATAGTAAAAATGTGTGGGTATTTTATAACCTGATATCCGTGCCTCCTGGCTCCCCTGCTCCCCCGCACATAGTAGCCTGTTCATGTCACCTTGTGATGCTATTCACGGAAGTATAGAGCAATGCTAGGCAAGGGCAGAGGGGGTCCCGCGTGCTTGTTTGAACAGCTAGAAAAGTATGTTTTTTTTCCACTTCAAGTCAGTAATCTCATATCTATCTGACAGCTACAGAACAACCACATTCTGGAAATTTAGAACTTTTTAACTGGTTTGTTACTTTTGGTATTAGTAGCCTCGTTTTCTACACTCTTCAACAATGTGTTGAGGCCTGAGTGGATGTGCTGAATGCATGAGCAAAGACTTGCATACAGTTTTCATGGCCTGGATGCAAGCAGGAATGGCAATCCTCAAGAGCCACCTCCTGAGCAAATGCATTCCAATGTTTGCTAAACTTTTATACACCTGATACTTGCCTCTCTGGCCCAGATTCTTTAACGCTAAGCTATCAGCAACAGCATGCCTCTGGTACACCTGGAGGAAGCACTTGTGACAGCTGATACCATAATTTATGAGGATCTGATTGCAATTGCAAGGCAATGGGGAAATGGCCTCAAGTTGCATGAGGGGAGGTTTAGGTTGGACATCAGGAAGAACTTCTTTATAGAAAGGGTGGTTAAGCTCAGGAATAGGCTCCCCAGGGAGGTAACTGAGTCACCATTCCTGGCTGCGGTTAAAAAACATTTGGATGTGGTGCTCAGGGACATGATTTAGTGGTGGGCTGTTAGGGTAGTATGGTTAGGTTGTGGCTGGACTTGATAATCTTGAAGGTCTTTTCCAACCTGAGCAATTCTATGATTCAGTCCAACACATCAAAGGCTAGTGACAGAGGTCAGACAAAATCCAATACAGTCAGAAAAGTCAGTACCTCATGAGTTGACACACTTATTTCCTTGAATTCAAAGGAAAACACAGCTTTACAGGAGCACATTACCTTCTTTCATCCCTCCTTTGTTTTGTCTGTACATTCTGCTACTATAATGGGCTACGTTTACAAAAGCTTTGGAAACCTATTTTCTACATCTGCTTGATGTCACAAGCAAGAGGGATTTTAATGGTTAAATTAGACCTGGGGAACTCTTCCAAATGTAACAAGACTACTTTCCACATGGGTGTAACTGGCAGCATCTCCACAGAAAAATATGGTAAATGTAATCCTAGTTTAACCAAGATGGACAGCAAAAGTAATACATCTTGCAATTTCTGAAGTCATTTTTAACTTCTGTAATTCTGTGCTGCACTAAGAGGGAAAATGCACAGAGTGAAAAAAGATGGCTTGGTGAAAACAATGCATCACTCCAAAAAAGGGCAAAATCTCTGACAGAAATTCAGTCCTAACTCCAAAATGGAAACACAGTGGAAACAAGAAGTAATTCTCATAGCTATTCCAGCAGAACCTCCCTTTTTTTGACTTGTTTATGTTTTATCACAGTATATACAGGAGCAGACATCACATCTAATTTTCATTAGCAAGCCTAATATTGATCTGTGTTTATATGCTAGATCCAGAACAAAGCCATCTGCCTATCAGAATGATTTAGATCCCTGAGACCTTAACAAAGAAAGAGCTGAACTTGACAAATGGAGGGGTAATAATGTTTTCAAACATGATTTTCTTTAAAGGCCTCATTTAAAAAATGTCATGGACATTTCTGCGGTTGGTTAAAGATGTTTATGTCAACAGCTTTTTTTATCAAAGCTCTGTTTTAAAAGAATATGTTTTTCATTAGATTGCTTTCCTTGTTCTCATTTCCATCATTCCCAGTCTTCTATGCTTGATTATTTTTCTCTGCCCACAGGAACAATAAGAAAACAAGTTGTTGGTGGGCTACTTTCTTTATTTCCTTCCCTCCTTCCCTTCCTTCATTCCTTCTTGCCTCTCATTCTTTCTTCAGAAAGCCAATGTTCTATGTGATGCCTCTAGCAGCAAGGCTTTTAACATAAACCTGGAGGGCAGCAATGATGATGATAGGGGAAGGAAAGCAACCACAGAGTGACAGGGTTTTGTTCAGGTTAAGAGCATGGATATCCAAGCCACTGTGCAAAAAAACAACAGAATTGCAGCTCTTGGTCATGTGAACTCAGGATTCACCTCATACTCTGATCCTAAAAGCCTCCACCATAAGACATGGATGAGGCACCAAAGCCCAAGAGTTGTGTAGTAAGCAATATCCTTAGCATGTAAAAAACAAACAAACAAACAAAGCAGCAGGGTGAGGCAGGTAGCTCTGGTGACGCAGAAGCATGTGAATCTGTGAAGCAGGGAATAGAAAAGCATCAGAAAAGGCTGGCAATCATGGTGGCTGCTGGAGAGCTGTCAGTGTTGTAGGGCCAACAAGAGGCAAAACCATGCTGTGGGAATTCACTGCAGCCAAGGAATGGTGATGGGTGGGTAACAGCCTACAAGATGAGACTGGGACACGGGAGCCTCTAGCCCTGGTCTGGAGAAGCCCCATCCCTTTTGCTCCAAGGCTGAATGGCCAGAGGTCAGTCTAGGACCCACTGTGCTCATCCTCTTGTCGGAAGCAGTGTGCTGGGGCAGTTATAATTTCAGTAATGCTGGATGCTTTCCATATGGGAGGAAAATCTAATATGGGCTAAAATCAGAAAAAAAAACCCTCTTCTGAATCACAAGTAATATATACTTTTGTTGTTTGAATTCAAGAGCAGTAGGACAGAAACCTCTGATCTCATGCTGCTGTGGATCAGAAGTAAATATCTGCATAGCATGTCAGGTAGCGCTGGTATGAGATCAATGTTACAGAGACTCAAGCTTGGCTGTCCCACTTGCCTATTTTGGAAGCTGTCAGCTTCCCCAGCAAGCAGAGGGAGAGCAAGACATGCAGATTAATCATATAACCACAGAACCACAGATTGGGTTGGAGGGACCGTAAAGACCACTTTGCCACTGTCCCCTGCTGTGTGCAGAGCTGCCACCCACCAGGCTGGGCTGCAAAGGACCCATCCTTCATCCTGGCCTTGAGCAACTCCAGGCTGGTGCCCAACCTCTGCAACAGCCTCTCCCTGCAGCCCCTGAGCATTAAGCTGGGATGATTTTCTTCTCTCTGTGCTTTATTTTACACTTTCTGGCCTGCTGCTGCTAGTGGTATTACCTTATCCCCATGCAGAACCTGTGAAGCAAATAATTCATTCTATGTACAAAGACATCCAGGTGATGAAAGAGCCAGCCAACATGGCTCCTCTTGACTCACAAATGCTCCCAGGTTCACTGTAGATGGGCTTTGCTCCTATTCCACAGCCAACCTTTCTTCCCTAAAACTCCCACAAACTGCTCTGTTACACGTCCCAGCTGGTACAAGTGCTGGCATGGGCTGCCATCTCTCTTCATTAACTCAAAGAACTGGGTGTGTGAGGCAAATCTCTTTCTGAGGAACAGCAGAATGGCCAATGTACTGTCTTTGTTTGAAGCAAATGATGGCAAGACAAATGGGACCAGCAAGGATTTTTGCATTGTTTCTCCCAATTCTTTTTCTCTATGTAATTAAATAAATGACTGTAGGCTACATACGTGGACTACCGGACTTCTTTGACGCTAGATTTTTCAGGCTTGAAATCACAAAGGAAGGCTCCAATTAAAAGTTCATTTTCAGGAGGGGCTAACTGGAATAGAATCACAGAATGGTTTGCATTGGAAGGGAGCTCAAAGCCCATCTATCCCAACCACTGCCGTGGGCAGGGCTGCATCCCACCAGCTCAGGCTGCCCATGGCCCCATCCAACCTGGCTTTGAGTGCTTCCAGAGATGGGGCATCACAGCTTCTCCACAGTAACCTACTCTTCTGAACTCGCTCATCTTGGTGCTGGCAGGTGAGTCCTGAGAGCGCTCCTTTGAATCACCTCATTTACTGTGTGTTAATCTGACCATCACCATGTTTTTCTCCTTCTAATCAAGAGACTTCCTCTCCAGCTGATGTGTACACTCAGATGCCTCTACCTCTGTGTATATCTGTGATTGGGTTGCAGGAATTTATACAGAGGAACTCACACAAATTGACTTATTTTAACACTTCTCCTGCAGGGGAGCAGAGCCCTTACCTTTGAGCTGCACTTGTACAGGGGGTGGCTGATGGAGTCCACATAGTGATGCCTCATGCAGCGGCTGGGATCGGTGTCGATCATGAAGGAACTGTCTGGTTTGCTGTCCGTGTCTCCCATCATTGCCAGGAGCGAGAGCATGGAAATTGAAGCTGCAAGTACATGACTTCCCATTGTTGAGGAACTTTGCTGTGATAACAGCAGAGGGAGGTAGAGGATTAAAAAAACACCAAATACTGTGAGCCAGTTCCTCTCCAGGAAAGTGAAAAGTCTGGTTTAAGTCTCTTAGTTGTCATTCTTCCTCTGGAGTTAGAGTTTGCTGAGATTGTAATCCATCAGAGAATCTCCCGTCAGCTGGAATAAAAACACCATAAATCACGATCCTGACCAAAAACAGCTCTGAAGAAAAACAAGCATAAATAATAATAAGGCTCATAGGATTTTTGCTTGCCAAAATACACTCTCTGAGAGAACATCATTCCCACAGTAGGTATGGCACGCGACATAAGGAAGGAGATGTGTTACTTTAAGCATTTCTCCATCATTTTTTTTTTACCACGGAGAACCTTTTAACTTTTCATATTACAAGTGTTGCAGCACCCATCTTGTTCACTCAAGAGAGTCCCTAATGGGCTCCCCTCAAAACTGGTGATGGATAACACATCAGAACTTGTTGCAAATGGGAAAGACTGCATATTTACTTGAAGTGTCAAAAAGCATGCTTAGAGGAAGAGTCAGGCTGCCTTCTGCCTCACCAAAGGGAATTTCCCAGGCAGTAAATAGAGAGGAGGGAGACAGGTGGGGCTCCTGTAGGAACAAGGGGCACAACTGGACCCTGTCTGGGCACAAGCAGTGCAGTCCCTGTTAATTAAAGAATAGGATCTGAAAAACACATAGTATTCCATAATATCCAAGTGCATCCCAGTTGTCAAGTGGGGAAAAGCCCTTCAGGGGAACATCTCCCCGGGCTGCCCATGGCTGTAGTCTTAAATGGGTGATTTAACTTTGCTTTTACTACACAGAGCTACAGCGTGGAAGAGCTGTGAATTATCCTGCTGGAGCAAAGAGCAGTTTACCGCTTAAAGGTCAAGGCCTTTAAGAAATCTATGACAAAAAAGTTCACTGTTCATGCAGAAATGCTCCCCGAAGCTTCTTGCCTATTTAAAGAATGCCATGTGCCCTTTATTGCCTTGCACAAGCCTCATTCAAAACAGCTTTATGCTTTGCCGACAATACTCTAAGATGACAGATACTCATCTCTTGAACAGCCTGAAACAGCAAGGCCTCCCCACCAAAATGCTCAATGATTTGTATACTGCTTTATAGCTTACTCCAACCCTTTTGTAAGAGGAGCACATAGAAGCAGTAAACACTTCCAGAGCTTGTCCAAGCTGGGAATCGGGACTTGTCAGGCAAGCTCTCATGCCGGGAAGAAATGTACGTAATTAGGGATGGTTTGTGTGTTAGACACTTATGAAAGCCTTTTTTGGGTTTGAACTATTGTTCATCTGCCTAAATAGAAAAGGAAAATTTATGTGACTGTATTTAACTAACAATATAATTTGTTCCCCGGCGTCTGATGTATGACCTGCTGTACTTAGAAGTCATAGAAGTCTTTTCTGTGAGCAAATGTCTTATACTTGATGTGGCACTGAAAAAAATACTATGTCTTTTCAGTAGAAGGAACTTAAGCAACGCTAAACACAGAATCTCAGATATGTTTGTGCACACTCTCCGTCACCTCAACAAATATTCCTCCAAACATTTCAGCAAGACAAGAGGGAAATCTCTCTGTCATGGGAGCTGGGACAGAGCCCTCCACCGAAGCAAGACTGTGGTTCACAGAGATGTTGTCCAAGCATTAGCTAACAGGAGGAGTGATGCACTTTTTTTGTGTTTAACCTTTTACCTACTTTCCCATTCTTCTTTCTAAAGAGGCTGACCAAAACACTCCGCTTGGCAAGGTCTCTCTCCAGCATAGCTAACCAGTATTACACACCCAGCAACTCCTTCTCTGTCCAAGAAAATTTACTTGATATTGGATGGTCTCATCTCTTTTACCGCTATATCCAGGGATCCCCATTTCCCACTCTCTGTGTCCCGCTCTTCTTTTTTTTCTCTATCTTTCTATGGTTTTGATCAGTATGATTTAAGACAGTGAGAGAAATCTGGTCCTGGCTCGGTTTTCAAAGGCTTATCTCTCTAGTTTGCTTCAGGAAATAATTGAATGACACAGAATCTGCCTCACAAAAACACTGTGAGAAAGTTGAGAAGAAGGAGGGGAAAATGTGAGAAAAGGAAAGCGTCTGTACCTTCTTTAGGATAAGCACAGCACAAAATCTGCACAAAAAGTCTTAGCAGACTCACAGCCTTTTAAAATTTCCCTGACACTTTCCTGGCAAAGAAATGAAGTGTAACATGGTAATAAAACTCCAATAGAACACAAGCAGAGTGTTATATTTATTTGTTAGCAAAAAGAGACCATCTTTTTGTCTTTTGTGACCTATCTTTCGTGAAAGAGCTGTGATTTGTTGCTGATGGACATACTGGCAAAATGAGCATGTTGGAACTGATGATGGGACTGCAGACAATACTGGGATATTTGCACCTCCAGTATCTACTGTCATTCCTATGTGAGGTATACACATACATTTCTCAAGTACATATACCATATACTATTGAGCTATGTAGAAAAATGTATATACCTCACAGGAATATTTAGACATATAGAAGTTAGTGTGTATTTGGACCAGAGGTAAAAACATTTTTTAGATTGGTTCTAAAAGGTCTAAATATTTTCACCCAGCTATATCACCATGGCATGACATTCCCATTTCCAGTTAAAACTGTGCAATGAGATATCGTTTCAAATTAGCACTCATATTTTATTTTATTTAAAACAAAACAAAATGAAACAATACAAAACTTTTTTTTTTTTTTTTGCAGCACTGTCTGAAATTATAAAATGCTACACATTACGTGGCATCAGGAATTACATCTGTCTGTCCATCTGCCTCAAAGCAGAAATACACCTCTAATCATTAATTGTTATAGATGCATTTAAAGATGATATGTTGTGTTCTACATCATTTGGAACATACCACTTTTTTGTCAAAATCAACAATTTCAGATCAATTTTTTTTAAATTTTATTTGGGCTGCCTTTCTCCCACTTTCTTCTTATCTGAAAAACTGTGGTGAGCACTCAACCTGCCAAGCTAAAAAAGAGGAAAGTGAAATGCTTCTGTTTTACAGCATCCCATAAAGAAGAAGATGCACTGGTGACTACATATCCCTAGGATGAAAATCAGCTACGAAAAATATTTGGCCAAAGAATGAATGAAAATCACTACTTTCCATTCTTTCAGAATTCACTGCTATGAGCATTATATGTTGTTAATAATAGGCTTACAAGTGCACTTTCCCTAAAACTGCTTTTTGGAACTCATCTGGACATACCTTGCTAAATTACAGCTGTCATTCAAAACTGCTACAACTGTTATCTAAAAAGTGAAGGGAACAATGGAAGCCATCCCAAAGCCAGATGATGCAAACATTCAACCTAAGACTGCACCACACATGACTATTGAGGCAGAGTTAAGGTTATTTTACCAACTTTGTATTATCATTACCTGTTCTTTGAATGCTTGAAATAAAGATTTTTTTAATCACAGTTTCAATATAATTTAAATAGCAGAGGAGGTTGAGATTTTTGGTTTGCTCTAGGATCAGAATAAAAATTCCATCATCTGGAATTATTTAGTCAGTTGCTTTGAGAGAACATAAACAGAAATTCTCTTTTGCTATGTATCTTGGAAAAAATCAAGAAACGAGGAATTCTCCAAAGGTCTATTGGATCTGCTCAGCTTTTACCCTGGAATATAGGAAGGGAGCAATGGAAAACCTCATTTCTGGTGTACTTCCATTTAGCTGTTCCCTGCATATGAGCCTGTGAATTAGGCATGCACGTATATTCAGCTTGGCCTTCATTTGCGGAGTATTTTTTGTTCTTGATACTCCTGCTTTATGATGATGATGCAGTTCAATTCACTCCATGTCTTTCATGTTCCAGAAGCTGCCAAAATCCAGTTGGAGCAGCAGTGTGTATATATAACTAAGCCCGTCCTTGCGTGTTGTGCATATTTAGTAAACACAATTACTTGGAACCTGTCATGTGGTTCCCTCATTCTCAATTAGTTATGTAAACAGAACAGTTATAAGACCACTCAGTTTCTCCAAAATCCAGCCCTAAAAAACTGTTACTAAAAATGTGTGTGTTTGTGTTTAGATTACTGCTGCAGTTCTGAGAAAAATGCCACAGACATCTTTATGAGGGCAAAGAGGATTTTCTGATAACTTTGTCATACCTGGAAAAAATTAGATCAGAAGAGTTGATATTTGGGGCGTTTGCACTCTGCTAAGATCTGAACTGGAATTGTGCTGTGTGGTGGTCAGCAGGGCAAGGGAAGTGATTGTACGTCTCTGCCCTCATGAGGTCCCACCTGGAGTACTGAGCGTGGGCCTGAGGTCCCCAGCACAAGCAGTGGAGCTGTTGGAGTGGGTCCAGAGGAGGGCATGAAGATGCTTGGAGGGCTGGAGCACCTCTCCTGTGAAGAAGGCTTGGGCTTGTTCCTAAAGAAGAGAAGGCTCCAGGAAGACTTCATTGTGGCCTTCCAGTACTTACGTACAGTGGGCCCAGAGGAAAACTGGAGAGAGAGTATCTGTCAGGGTATGCAGTGCTAGGAAAAGGCATGATGGCGTTAATTGAAAAGAAGGTGTATTCAGATTAGACATTAGGCAGAAATCCTTTATCCAGAGAGTGATGAGGTCCTGGCATAGGCTGCCCAGAGAAGCTGTGGGTGCTCCATCCGTGGAGGCATTCTGAGGCAGGTTCCATGAGGCTTTGGGCAGCCTGGTCTAGTGGAAGTTGTCCCTTGCCATGGCAGAAGAGTTGGAACTGGATGGTCTTTAAGGTCCCTTCCAACCCAAACCATTCTATGATTCTACTGTTAGTATTTTTGTTCTGCAGAGTTAAGCTCTCCACTGCCATGAAAAGGGCCATGAAAAAAAGATGGGGTTGGGAGGTGGGGATGAGCAACCAGTGTGCAGCAGCCACATTACATGATCTGCTCGCAGGCCTCCTCCACACTCCACAGCATTTTGATGGCTTCCAGGCAATGTCACCTTCCACACTTTGCCCAGGAAAACTGCTTGAGTAACATCATTGTGGGACAAAATCACAGAGATCACCACTTGAGAATTTAATAGACCAGTTTATCTCATTGTAGAGATAACCTAACATGCTCCTGCTTGCTGTCAGCTTAGAGATTTTATAAGATCCTGTGTATGCTTTAGTTTTGTTAATAAATATGCTTTTCTTCTCATTGTGGTATTTTACTACAGTCATTTTCTGCCAGTGAGGTAGTTGGCCTGTCATATGTGCATTCAAAATACTTTTGTATTGTGACCATTGCATTGTTAGAGCAATATCTCCATGCAACACTCAGACAGATTTCTTCCCTCCATTTTGCCACAGAGGTGGCAAAGGGGTTATGCAGTGGCCACTGGGACATAGGACTGGGAGCCCACAGGACACTGAGGGCTGAGCCTTGAACAAGCCACAGGGATGTGTGTGCCCACAACATAAAAGTAGTGCAGCTCTGTGCAACTCAAGAAGAAAAGGCCTGGAGAATCCTGGCTACCAGCATGAGAAAGGTAGGAAGCAACAAAAAGGAAAATAGAATAAATCACAGAATCATAGAGCAACTTAGGATGGAGGGGAACTCAAAGTCCATTCAGTTGCAACTCCCCTGCTATGGGCAGGGTTGCCACCCACGAGGTCAGGGATGGGTCATACATAACAGGCTCATAAGAAGGGGCTTGAGCCTTTTTATCTGGATGTCCACCAAAAGAAAACACATATTCTGGTCTTACTGAGGGCTGCTCTGCTCTATGGCCTGTCAGCCAGCAGTTGCAGAGCACTGTCCCACAAAACCCAAGAAGAGAAAATGGACACTGGCTAGAAATGTCAGATGCACTAGTGGAAAAATGCCTACATTTCATTTTCTGCTCTGAGGTTTTGCTAAATTTTTAGTATTTCTGAAGAAAAATACCTTTGCTGGTAAGCAGACTAAAAAAGAAAATGAAATAGGAAAACCATGGTAATTCATAAGAAACAATGGTCAGTAATTGCAGCACATGCAAAGGAAGAACTCATGGCTGCTGATGGCCCTGGAGCAGGGAGCTCTGGTGGCTGCTCTGCAGGGCCCCACAAGTGGGGGCACCGTGGGGGGGACCAGGAGAATGAGATGGAACAATTCTTGCTGAACAGCACTCGAGCAAGCCAAGTTTCACTCCCCTTTTGAAGTCTCCAAGTGTGTTTTCAGTCCTTCAGGTAGCTGAGAGGGGGGAGAGCTACCAATGCTGCTGGGCAGTTGAAATAACAACGTCTAGTGGGTGCTGCGGGCTGGCGCCCAGCCAGCAGACAGGCAGGGACAAAAATGGAGAAAGGTTTTTAATACACTTGCAAAGAATAGCTACTAGTAGACAAAAGAGTGCTTGTATTTTTATTCTTTCTTTTTGCTGTCTCTAGGAAACTTTAAATAGATCGATTAGAGGCATGCATAGGATCTGTCTCTAATGAGCCCCACAGCAGGCAGAACTGTTTAATGGCAAGGTGATGCCAGCCTTGGACTCTTTATTCAATCTTGTGTCTTACAGAGCAATCCTGATCATCAGTTGGAGATGGAAACAGGGAGGAATCCAGCTTTGCACTTGCTCATCCAAACAGTGATGAATGGCATTGCTCCTCAGGTTCAGAGCCAAGCTATATTCAAAAGGCTCCCACGACTCCCAGCAGGAAACCAGCAGTTTGGAGGCTGCTGGGCACATGCAAATATTCCCAGCTAAGCATTAGCTATAGGACCTGCTTCAGTAATTACCTCTGTGTTAGTCTTATGACCCAACATAAGTTAAAATGACTCTCGGCCAAATTACAAGTTGCTGAGAGGTCTAGGGCATTCGGGCATGTGTTCTCTTACCTGTTGGAGTGTGCTACAAAACAGTGGATGTTTCTGGTTCTCTGGCTTTCATTATACTGCTTGTCTGATGATTAGAGATTATTTTAATGCATTTACTGAAGAGCCGTAGTTATCACTAGATGCAGGAATGAGTTTCTCATTCTTTAACATTAAGCAAAGACATCCCTGCCACCAGGATGAGCAGTGTGCTACGCAGCTGGAGATAGCCCATGGCTGAAAGAAATATTCCCTGTAGGAAAATCCTCTCTTCTTTTATAGACAGGCGAAATTCAGACTAACAGTCATGCACCTCGATTAATTACAGAACCTAAGCATTTGGCTCATGGTAGCAATTTTATGTCATCTAACAGCATTCCCCTAGGTCCCACTCTCTTTGAGCTGTGCTGCTATGACAGTAATGCGATTGTCACTGCCATGGTATGCTTAACCTTTGCCAAACCAGAGTGGAGGCATTAACTCAGATCTTCAACTCACATGTCTTAAAGGGCAATGTAACCTGTGCTGCCTCCTCTGCTGAACCGATGTCTGCAGCCCCGTAACAATCAGCATGAAAATGTGACAAGCGTGAGCTGTAACAGTGATTGATGCAGGTAGAAGAATAACAAAGAGAAGCTGAAGAACAGCAATGCAGTGGAATTCCTGGGAGCGCTGTCTCCATGGCATCAGCAGCCAAATGTTGGGATGCCAGAAGAAAGGCTGGAATTGCCCATGTAGGAGGGATCTCTGTGAAATTCACACAGTGAAATTCCAACAAAGGGGACAAGAACTGTTGGTGTCTGAAAGTGGTAGTGCCACTGCTACCCGGGTAATCGTCTGAATTAGATTATGTGAAAAAAGAAGGAATATATAGACCGCCAGCTGCTCAAAGGCTTACTACAACCTTGCTTTTATTGTTCAGCTAAGTTAGAGGTGGGGCATCAGAAGGATTCCATGCATACCACTGCTGAGAAATTTTAATATGTTCCACACTGACACATATAAAAAGGAAATAACAGCTGATCATATCCAGCAGAGACAGCAGCATCTCTTCATATGCCTGCAAAGAAGTGTGGGCAAAGTGGGGTGCTCTTGGTCAGAGGCAGACAGCTGAGCTAACCCAGCAGCAATCCAGCATTTCTCTTGCCAGCAGGCTCGCATGAGAGCTGTTCCGCAAGAAACAAGGAAAGAGCAGGAAAAAAGGTGAAGTGGGCACGGCTACTCACCCCTATCCCAAGATACCAGGGTGTGGGGAAGGGCAAGGAGTGGAGCTGCTGCATGTTGAACACTGATGAAAAGAAACACGTGGTTACACAACCCACAGTGATCCAATGGAACAAGATATCACAAGGGCAAAAGTTGAGCAGGGCTCAGCAAAAGGACTCAATATGTACGGGAGGGTTGCAGTCTGAAGGGTTTTATTTTTAAAGAGTTTTGGGAAGGGCTGTAAGATCTCAGGACTCTGAGAGCTCAGTTGATGGGGCTAGGGAAAAATCCTTCATGGCAGCAAGTTTCCCCTGTTGCTGTCTGCCCCAGGGTCCCTGTGCTCTGCTTTGATGTGGCCGCTTCCAGCCACGCTCAAGAGGTGATTACTCAAATAACAGGGCACTGCAGTGCAGGCTCATGTAGCAAAACTTTTCCAAACCTCAGAGAGGCAAGTGCCTCCTGGTACTCAGCAGGACATTAGAGGCAGAGGAACTTGTTCTATTTGTAATAGTAGTTGGTAGTTGTAATTACAATAGTACTGTTTGGGAGAAATGGGATCTTTTTAAAGTTCTACTTTCTGTTAAACAAATTACCTTCCAGACTTGTTGCAAAAACGTATGTCTCAGTGACTTCACCCAAGCTTTGCAGCATAGGTCTTCAGCTCCCTCCAAAGTTCAAGCACAATCTTGGTCACTTCCTAGTGCATCTGGCAGCAGATGCATTGGGAAGGGGATAGCAGCGGCCCCAGGGAAATGGGGAATGAATTCAACTCCACAAGGGCTCCTTGTCAAAAAAGTCAGTGTGGGCATCAGCACCAGCCGGCAAGAAGGTGGTTCATCTCTCAACCACCTTGGTAAAAGATACTACAGCACTGGCAACAAGCAAGAGCATATATGTGCTGCCTAAGCCTCTATGGCACGTTTGGGGTTCTGTTGGGGTCAATGGCTGTTGCTGAGAACAGCCGCAGTTTGGTGGCTATCTGGGGTATTGCTACAGCTAACTCTACACAAGGCTGTCTGTAACAAGACTGCAATTAGAATAAGCAGAGGTAGCCTCTAATTATATCCCTTAGCTAAATTAAATTTCTTCCTATTTTGTAAGTTGGAAACATCTTCTGTTCCTTCCCCATTTGCTTGTAACTGGAAAATCTTACAGTATATTTTTATAAAACCAGTATTACAAATAAGATTGCATTGCTCCAGCATGAATAACATCAAGGTACAAGTCACATTGGTAACCTCTGATTCAAGCTGGTAAGTAATTACTCACTAAATAGTTCTATTTAAGTCAAGAATTATTCATGTGCATAACTGCTCACAGATATGAATAAGGTCTCACAGTCTGGGCAAAACTGAGCATCATTAGCAATTCAACAGAAAAAAAAAAAAAAGAGATCCTAAATAGATTTTCTTTGGAGGAAGGACAAATAACCACAGCACTGTGATTACTGTATCCACATTCATTGACCTGCACCAGACATATGGGTTGTTCTAGTAGGAAATAATTTTACAGCAAGGAACTGATTTGGAACAAGTTTGTACCCACTGGTGCTTTTAAATAAGCATTTCATAGAATCATAGGATAACCCAAGTTGGAAAGTACCCATAAGGATCTTAAGTATGGAGTCCTCACCTCCCAGTGACTATGGCGGTGACTAGGACAGAGTCACTAAACCTTAGAAACTGTAATGTTTAGCAATGAAAAATTGTTCTTTCACCTCTAAAGAGCTGCAGAAACTTTGGCAAGTCACTTGTCGTGCCGTCAGTCAGAGGTAGAAACAAATAGGATGTATTATGGGGACACTGTGGGAGAAATTTAAATCAGCTCTAAGGGTAGGATAAGAAATCTGCTTGACAGTCACAGAGGAGTCAGTGCTCACACATTGCCTTGCAAAATCGTATCTGTCACAAGAAAATTATCACCTCAAACACACATTCAGTTTGAGTCACTCTACTGACACTGGAACATTTAGCTAATGCAGCACAAACAACTGAGACTGCTCCTCACATCGCTTGTCTTTGTTACTCAGGTTTCTTTTTTTTTTTCTTTTCTTTTTTTTTTTTTTTTGCTACTGAACCCATCAATTTCAACTTTTATAGCTTGAATTCTCTTACCTGAGTCTCAGCAGAGAGATGGGGCTTTCCTCCTCAGCGGGCTTCTCTCAGGGCACTATCCACTCCAGAGGACTGTACTTACGCTGCTCTACTGCATTATCTCTTGGCTCATAACAGCAAAACTCTTCCTTTCTCCCTGAGAGGCAGAGAACAGCCATGCTCGTCCCCTGACACCGCTGCACAGCGACTCGATGCTCCGGCATGCCGGGATTTCAGGGTGCCGAGAGCCTCCCCCTCCCGCAGCGGGCGGCCGGGGGTCCGGCGCAGCATCCTCCCACCCCAGCGACCGCCCGCCCGGCCACACGCACGGCGCGTCGTGCCGAGTCGGCTACCTACTAAATATACCCTGCGGGGCTACGGCAAAGGCAAACGCCACGGCTTCCCTCATAGGCTTCAGCCAATCAAGGATGGGTATGAAACCTAGCCTAATCCGTAGCCAGTGCTGTCCAGTCTGTAGTAAAGCTTCCCAGAAGTTTGGATAAATAATTACGTGCAAATTAAGGGTGCTCCCACAGAGCGTGACACACAAAGCTAGGAATAAATATTGCCTGTTGTTTTGGATTATTCTGAGTGCTCCAGCAGATGACTGGCAAGAGAAGGTTGTGCATAAGTAGCAATAAAAGTAAACAGCTCGGTTTTAAAGTAGCAGGCTTGCCTGCATCCATCGCTCCCTACTACAATGGGACAAAGCCAGTGATGGCAATAACAACTGGGGCAGCACCCAGCTCGTCCATTCAATCCAAGCCATACAGTGACAGCCAGTGCAGAGGTGCAAACAGGATCCCTGCACACTCACAAAAGTAAAAGTTTAAGCAATTTGCTCACACTGTGCTACCTCTCTGCTTCCTTACAGGCATCCTTCAGGCAGAAGACAGATCTAAAGACGGGATTAGGAGACAGGTACTAGAGCTGTGCCCACTCTACACTATCACATTTTAATTAAAAGCCAGCACACAGAGAATATGTGTATGTCAGATTAAAGTGCTAAATTTAAGCCCATGAAACGCTCAAACCTGGAGGAAACTTATTTGTGTGCTTACCTTCAGCAAATGCTCTGCTCCTTCCTTCCCTCCAGCTCTTCAGAGAGCTAAAAAGAGGTCCTGTTGCTTCCAAATGCTTTTGTTCTGCTGTCCCTCTGTCACATGGTTTGCCTTTTATATTTGCAACACACAAAAGTTAGGGCTGTTTAACAGAGAGGCAGAGAGAGGGAGAGAGAATGTCAAATGGAAAAGTGCCATTGCAGTCATATATCAATCAGGGCAGCGGCAGCAGCAGCTCGCTGGCAAATGGGAATTCCACAGAAATGCAAAGCTCTTGTTATCTGAGAAATCACAAAACGCCACCAGCCAAGCTCCCCTCTGCAGGGACTTCTTATTATTGGCAAGCCAGGGAATAGAAGGAAATGTAGGCTTTTGTTGTTGTTGTTATTGTTTCGGATCTGGAGATATGTATGCAAGGGCACATGTAAGACAATGGAATACAAGTCCTGAATAAAATTCCATTCTAAATAAATGTGCTGTGTACAAGACAAAGCAAACCACAGTGCAGTGATGTAATTAGAGCTATGAAAAAAATCTGAAAATAATAATTAGAAATTTTTGTATGTATTTGCACTTGGAAAATATCCACAGGGAAACTACTTTTTCACTGAGTTACTCATTAATCTCCTTCTTTTTCTGAGAATTATTTTTTAGATTTTATGTGAGCTGTGATTGATCTCAGATATCCTAAATTCAAGCTGTGCTGCTTTACTGCAATTGGTCACCGAAATCATCTGACATTCTCAGGCTTCCCAATTGAATAAACAGACAAGTGTTTTCTGTATCAATATTTGTGTGCAAATCTGCAATTCAGTTGCTTCAAGTGATCAGCCCCAAATTCTGAAATTTCTCTCAAATAGACCCTCATATGCTCTCAAAGGCTGAGATATTTAAGATGTCTAGCTAACATTCTTTCTTCTCTATCCTCCTTAGAATATCAGAGTTTGAAAATGCCTTCCTTCAAACCTTTTACACAAATATTGTCTTTTATGCAAAAATGAATGCCCTGGAATGCTGAGGGCAGACTCCATCCAGTGGAGAAACCTACTTACAACGAGAGCATGCCAAACACGTTTGCCTGTACATGGTACTGGGTGCACTAAACCTCTTTTTTGGCTCCCACAGTGGAGCATGTTTTCCTTCCCTTTGGAGTGCCCCCTAGTCGTCCCGAGGCAGTACGGAGCACGAGGAAGAGCAGACCTTAGCTGGTTAATTAAAAAATAGGCGACATAGCTGGCCATTCACAAGCTGGATCTGTTCAGAGGCACTAGCCAGCAGATGGACGGGGTCCTGTGTCGATTGTGTTTGAACTCTAAAGGAAAGTTGGTATTTGATGGATGATGTTATTAACTAAATGTCTTATGTAGTATTAGATCAAAGAACAGATGGAAATTATGCCTTAAAAATAGAATAATCTAAAAGGGGAATGGCTTGTAGATGAGTAAGCATCATGGAAACAATAAAGAAGACATTCTTTGGCTTGCCTTGCTGCAGAGTCAGGTTTGGCTAACAGGATAAAAAATTGATCCACTTAGGACTCACATCCTTAGGACATGAGTTTTCCTGAATGTTTTCCCCTCATATTCAGTGTTTATGTTGTTTTGCCTCTTTAGTCTACCCTGGGCTTCTCTCACTTACTATGTCAGTATGGGCTCTCTGCCTCCTTTGTTGTGGATACCCAGTGTGGATGATGGCTGAGCTCAGCATCATCTTCACTCACTCGAAGTGGCAGGCTGAAATGCCACCCACAATCTGGCACTGCGCTTACCTTAAAAAGACTATCCAGAGCAATGCTTTTTAATTTAGCCTACACCTGCTTGTTAAACTAAAGGCATTGTCCCTTTGGTCATTCAGCTGCCATGTCCACTTGTCTCTGTTTAACTATGAGAAGAAAAGTGGCTCACATATCTGGTTGCTCACATAAAAGACCTGGCAGATCCAAGACAAAAGACACACCAACCAGCTTCTGGATGAAGTCTGCCAAGAGACGGTAGATAACTCACATTCCTTACTGAAAATTACACTTCTTGAGTTCTAAAAGGTACAGCATAGGTTTGTTAGTTTGTGTCATCTATGGGAGAGAATATTCTTAGTAGTTACTAGTTGGGTACAAAACGCACATTAAATACTCAGTAATTAGCAATTACATGTCAAACAGTGGTACTTCTGAGAAGCTTACCTAGCTTTTGCCACTACAACAATTTCCAAATGCAGGAAAATCTGTAGATATTGGACTAAATGTGACAACAACAACAACAAAAATTACATTCCTTTTTCATCTTCAGCTTCAAGACCACATTTAGCAGTAAGTGGAAGTTAATCAGCAGTTAATTAACCTCATAGGCTGGTGACTTACAAGCTGACACTCCCATTTCTGGTCTGAATGAACTGAAGAATGACTGAAGGCACAAAAGTAAAAGTGTAAAAAATAACCCCTCCTCCTCCTTCCAAAAGAACTATAGAATCATAGAATCATAGGGTCATAGAGTCATCAAATCATCAAATCATAGAATGGCTTATGTTTGAAGGGACATTAAAGATTATCTAATCCCAACTCTCTGCTGTGAGCAGGGCTGCCACCTACCAGATCGGGCTGCCCAGGGTCTCTTCCAGTTCCTTCAGGACCCTAGAATGCAAGGCCCCATAGACTTGTGTATGTTCTCTCTCATGAGGTCTCTAACTTATTCTGCTCTTACAGTGGAAAGAGATTTCACTCTCTCAAATCCCACCTAGAGGTTCAGGGATACGAGCTGTGTGGGAAGACTGACAGCTGCTGAAGACTGAGGGAAAGAATGACCTGAGTACCTCAGCCTTCACCATGTCTGTTGAAGCTAGTTCTTCTTGCTCACTTACCAGATGGACTACACTCTCCTTTGCCTGTCCCTTCTGCCTGATGTATCTAAATAAACCCTAAATAAATTTTCCACATCCCTCGCCAAGTTTGATTCCATATCACCTTGGCTTTCTTGGTTCCATCTCTGCATATCTGGACAGCTACCTTATATTCTTCACAGGCCACCCATCCCTGCTTCCTCTGCCTATTATTTTTCCTTCCTATCCCTCAGTTTGACCAGCAGGTCCTTGCTCAGCCATGTCCATTTCCTGTCTATGGCCCACAATTTTTTCATAATCGTTCATAAATATTCATCTTCTCTCAACCACTGTAATTTAATCCTTCCCATAACAACAGTCATTTAAAATAGAATAAATGCAAAGCACAGATCAGAGATGTGTTTTCGGAGATGATTAGACATATGAAATGACCAGATACTTGATAAGATATCCTGCTCTCAACTCAATTTTAATCAGAGATCCCTTCAAGGGGAGCTTTTCTCACCTAGCAGCTATCATCTGAAAACTGATCGTAGGCTCTTCCAATGACAAATGGAGTTTCCATCCCAAATTACTTTAATTTCAGGACAGTTTAAGGTAGTCATCAGCAACAGTCTTTCTCCCTGTGAGCAACAAACAATAATTTGCTGACAGTCAGACGAAATTCCTATTTTTTAGATAGGTAGAATTAAATCAGATAAAGGACTTAGGCTATAGTTCTGACGAGAAAGAGATTCACCTCTGTGTAGAGTTCTACTGGCATCCCTCACTGACTCCCCATGAAATGCATTGCAAACCTGAACTCTTAGTATACTTGTTTCCATATTCCACCTCGGTACACACCTACAAAACTTACGTCCATCCGCAGAAAAGGATCATGCTACCATTATCTGCAATTCAGTAGAACTGAATTCTTTGCCCCACTGACATCATCAAGCATCGTATTTACTCTTCAAAGGAGTAGAGTTTCACCTCTACAGAGTGCACTTGTTGTGAACGAAAAGCATTCAGAATTCTGCAGCAAAAGAAACCTTATGTTTCAATTTGAGAGATTTGCCATGTGTGATTGTTGTATTCTCAGACAGTGGATAACAGACGTTCATATCATCAAATGTACTGTCAGAAAGGACCTTTAGGGAAACTAATTTCTACCATTTTAATAATCCAAACAGGTATTAGATAATTACTAATTCTGGTACATAATGTTATATACCCATGTACAACAACCCAGGATCAAGCAGTACAAATGTCTGTTCAGGTAATTTTTGTTTTTCATGTATTAAGTTATCCTGTCATTCATTCCCTCAGATTCATTTTGCAAGGTTATTTAAATACCTAACTGCCTATTTTCTTCTACAAGTTAAATGCTCCTCTTGTTTTGTGTATACATGAATGTGTGTTAAGAGTATCTGGAAGTGTTTATTCCGTGACTTATACATATTACATTATTATAGCAAGGCTTCCTCTATTTAGGGAGCTATAAAGAATAATGTGAAAATTAGGCCTGAACTATTATTCATTTTATTGCAGAAGTCAG